ATACGTTCTGTGGTTATCTCCAAAGATGTTAGGAATTCCAGTGTTAAACGTTGACCAAGATAAGCATGAGATGCAATATGTAGTGATTCATAGTTTTCTATTTAAAGTTCAAAACTCCCCTGGAGACATCCTTTAGAAGCTTATCTAAATACATAGATTTATAGTATAATTAGTTACACAGACAAGTTTTAAGAATGTAATCAGAGGGATGTATACTGCAAAACCAATGGTAAATTTAATAAGATCCTAATATACAAGAAACACATTAGAATCCTATGTGATTTAATGAAAATGGAAAAAATAAATATAATATGTAATATTATTTTTAAATTCTCCTGCTGCCTAAGAAAAGATTTAACAATATATGTACATAACTCACATTTTAAAAGTTAAAAAGCATTAATGAACAGATTAAAGAAGACCTAAATAAACAAAGAGACATACCATGTTCATTAAATGGAAGAATTAATATTTTTATAATATGATTCTCCCAATTATATACATATTCCCCTCAGTCTCAATCAAATCTCAGCAGAATTTTTATAGAAATCAACAAGGTGATATCAAAAGTAAAATAAAATGGAAAACAGCTAGATAAGGCAGAATTATTTTTAAAAATAATGTATTTGTATTTTATTGCTTCTGCAAAAGAATTCTATTATAACTTCAAACAACACTAAGTTTTTATCTTAAAATTCCAAATATCAAAAATATGCCATGTATATACTGAGTTAAAATTGATATGTTGTAAGAGGTGCATCCCTTTCTGGAAGGTTGAGGGAAGAATCAATTTTCTTGTCATTTCCATTTTCCAGAGACTTTCCCCTTTGTTTGGCTTATGTCCCCTTCCTCCATTTTCAAAGTCAAAAACATTGAACTTCTATCTGACCCTTTTCCACAGTAACATAACTCTTTTGCTTTCTCTCCCTCCTTCTCTCTTTCTTTCCACACATTATCGTGATTTCACCCAGATGATCCAGAATACTCTCCATATTTCAAGATCAAAGTAATATCTCTAAAGTCCATTTTACCATTTAAAGTAATGCATTTCAGATTCCAAGAATGAGAACATAGACATCTTTAAGGAGGCCATTAGTTTGTCTACTACACTTAAGAACAAAGGTGGAGGACTCATACATCAGTAAACAAGACAGAGTATATTGATATAAGAATAAATACATACATCAATTTAAAAAATAAAGGAATAAAAAGCCTAAAAAAACCACAAAAACTGGGCTGGGGTTGTGGCTCAGCAGTAGAGCGCTCGCTTAGCACAATCGAGACCCTGGGTTTAATCTTCAGCACCACAGATAAATAAATAAAATAAAGGTATTATGTCCAAATACAGCTAAAAATAACAAATATTTTAAAAAATCACAAAACCTACATTTAACAATTTCTTGACAATTATGTAAGTTTCTCATTGCTCAAAAAACACAAATACCACTCTCCCTTATGTTGTATTGTTCAAAACTTATTTGTGTAGATATACCTAAATTGGAAGGAGCCTTTATTCTAGATGTTCATGTGCCCAGACAAAGTATGCAGATTCTGTTATAAGAAGGGGAAAATGGATATTTGGGGACATATGGGTATCTTTGGTACCAGTGAATAAATGCATATTCAATTAAAAAAAAAAAACACAAGTTCTAAAATTTTTATTTTTTTAAGAATGACATCCATATAAAAATAAATTCCATTTCATAAAAAACATAACAGTATGTCAATCAACATATGAATATGAGATATAGAAATATTACTGGAAAAATATGGAAATTTGGGGGTAAATTTAGCATTGGAAAAATGATCTATATAAGATCAAAAAATAACTCACAAAAATGATTAATTTGGATTTCATCAAAAGTTAGAATATATGTTACTGGAAACAATCTCTTAGAACCTCAGAAGATAAATCACAAAATATGAGAAAATATGTATAGACATATATCTGATAATGGAATTGCATCCTAACTATATGAAGAACTATCACAATGGAATGATAAGATAACCTACACAATTTAAGTGGGAAAAACATTGAAATTTACAATAAAAAGTATAACAATGTCCCCGCAGATATAATGTCTAAGCAAATATAATAGTGCTCACCATAAAGAGTCAACCAGGAAAATAAAATGAGGGCACAATGACATACCATTACATATATGCCAATGTGGCTAAAATTTTAAAACTGGCCATCCTATTTGTCAGTGAAGATGCAAGTCAATTGGAACTCTTATACGTGGCCAATAGGAATGTATAAAATATTCCAATAATCCTGAAAATCAATGTAGCAAATTCTTACAGATTTAGTCATGTACATATCATATGACTCAGTAATTTCAATTTTAGAAATGTATCCTAGATAAAGAGTAAAAATATGTCTATACAAAGATTTTCTTCAAATGTTCATAAAGAGTGCAACCAAAATTACCAAAACATGAAAATACCCCAAATGTTCATTGGTAGTGGAATAGAAAACCAAATACTCATCGACTTGTATAATGATATATGACTTGGTAATGAAAAAAATTAGTTGTTAATGCAAGAAACAACAGAAAAAAATTACATTTTGCTGAAAAAAATAAAGCCAAATATAAATGAATATGCTGTGTAAATCTATTGATAACAAAGTTGTCAAAAGGCAAACTAATCTGTAGTGACAGAAATAACATTGATTACCTATGTTGATGGAATTGAGGGTAGACTCAGTGGATAAAGAACCAGAGAACTTTCTCATAATATTAAAACTATCTCAAACTTCATTATGTTTATACTTATATAATTTATCAAAGTCTTTCACCTTCACACTAAATGCATGTGAATTTCTTTGTATATACTTCATACCTAAATAAAGTTTGTCTTTTTAAAAAGTGAACCCTTAGAAATTGAAAAATGAGAAGGTGACCAGCAAGGGAGGAAGAAGAACCAGAGGAGGTAGTGGGGAATGAAACTGATTAAACTATCATGTGCAGGTATGAATATGTCACAACAAAGCCCATTAGTCTATTTATAAATACATACTAATATAATTTTTAAAATCAGCCCTTAGAAATTAAATATGCAGTTTTTAAAACATTTTTAAATATAATTTAGTTATTGAAAGAAAAAAAGTCAAAGCAATCTATCTACATAGAACATAAAAAGTGAAAAGATATAGAAATAAAAGTTATATGTTCAAAGCAGATTAACCCAAATAACAAACACTTCAGATAGAAAAAATATAGAAAAATAAGAATTAAGCAAAATATAGTTCTGAAGAGAAAGTTAAAAACCATCAAATAAAAGCTCAATACAAATTTTAAGGAAAATAATAATATAAACCTTGTAAAATTTAAAATTCCCAAAGATAAAAGAACATTCTTAGAGCTTAAACAAGTAATGGATAATCCTGTTACCTACAAAGAATAAAGTCAGAAAAGCTCAAAGCCTCTCATTAGCAAAAATGTGTTTCAAAAGACCTAGATATGAAATACAGAATATATATGTAGAAATATATACATAGAAATATACTTCATTTCTAAAAGGGAAAGGTCAATATCATTAAGCTGTGAATTATTTGTAAATTATTCTGCAGACCCAAGAGAACTGCAAACAAAATCTAAACAGGGTAATTAAAAGTATGTGGTAAGCTAAATTTAAAAGTTTACAGAAGATCAAAGTGTCACCTCCCAAAGAAACTGATACAAAGAAGACTGGGGTGAAAAGTCATGATTAGATAGCGATACTTATTATGAATCTATAGTGATTAAGGTAGAAGATTACTAAAACATTATTTGCTAATGTTGCAAAATAAAATACACAGTATAAATAGTCAGTATCCATTTTTATGATATATGAAAAGGTACAATATTGGATTACTGGGGAAATGTTGAATTTTCCCATATTGTTTTTAAAAGGAAATAATGTCATTATCATGCATAAAAATAACCTGCAAATGAATTAATAATATGAAGACAAGATATAACTTTTAGAATAAAAAGTATGTCTACATTCTGAAGTATTACTATCAAAAACATAAGCAATAAAATACAGTTAATTTTATAGTGAAAGGAACAATATTATTCATAGTAAACATAAAAGAAAAAATAAAAGCCACATAAATTAAGAACACATATGTAATACATATAATTGAAAAAAAAGATATTTAGAATTACTAAGAATCCAACATCAAAGCTTCCAAAAAGATAATCTAAAAAAAAAAACATCAAGCCTCATCTTACAGATTAAATGAACTTCCCATTAGCCCATAACAATGTATGCTAAATCCAATTATTAATAAAAGAAGCACATATCAACACTTCAGTGTTTTACCACTTTATTGCCATTTATCTAGTAAATATTAAAATACAACATCACTTAATCATTATCAAGAACGTAGAGCAAGAATTCAGCATTGACCAGAATGTATATTAGTACAAGCTCTATAGAAAATCCAAAACAAAATATGTACAATTTCCCAGAAGACCCATTTCTGTAACATGTCCCAGAAATACTCAGAGACAAAGGGCAATACTGCAAAAATACCCCATCACTTCTTGACTGACATCTTTTACTCTCATTGTATTCATTTTTTATTTATAACAATTTTATAATAATTTTGAGTCAAATGATTAATTTCAACGTATATGCATATGACTTAATTTAACCAAAAATATTGTATTCAAATTCTTTTTTAAATATATTTTCTAGTTGTATATGGACACAATACCTTTATTTATTTATCTTTATAAGGTGCTTAGGATCAAACCCAGCGCTTCACACACGCAAGGCAGGTGCTCCACTACTGAGCTACAGCCCCAGCCCCTGTATTCAAATTCTTTACTATATTCTTGAATACTGTTTACTAAGGTGCACTTATTTTGCCACATACTTATCAATAAATTTTGATTTCCACTTTTACATGAAACATGGAAACAAATTTTTATAAATATTTTGCCCCAGTTTAATGTAGATGGACCTTTAAAAAATCACGAGTATAGATATCAGAGCATTTTACTTACTAATCCGAATGCATTTGAGAGGAGGGGACCAGCCATTCTCTGTACATGTAACTGTGTTTTGACCATTTGAAAGACTATAGCCAGGATAACAATCAACTTTAACAGACTCATGCAGTGAATGTCTTGTTTCACGTGAGTAATATCCATATTCCACATAATTGAAAATGCATTGTCCTAAGGAGCATAAAGTGATAAAAAGTGAAAACATTAATTTGAACAAAATATTGGATTAAAAATTACCTTTATAATATTTAGAAAATGTGTAGCATCTGAAAAATGTGCAATTAAGAAAACCCCAAAACTACTATACCAAATGTTTGTTAAAAAATAAAAATCAATAACATTGAATTCATCTTTAATTTTGTAGCTAAAACATGTGTAAATGATACAGGTTTTCTTGTAACTTTGGTTTTCATGTGATTTTTATGAAGAGCTTCTTATAAAAGACAAAAACTAATTGGGTCTTTTTGCACACACAATTCTTCCCTTGGCCCTAATTTGTCATGCAAGACTTAACTGTAAATACTTATGTGCTTCTTTCTTCCCTCATTGAAAGATACATGTATCATTGTAAAGACATTTACTTACTGATGCATGGTACTTCTGGCAGCCACCCTTCTTTTGTGCAATAAATGTAACCCCAGTATGATTTTGAAGGAGACACAAAATTGTTATCACATTCATAGGTATATCGTTGTCCTATAGGTACTGGAAAGTATGGTCTATATCTTTCTTCATAGTATAGACGACCATGTTTTATCTCTGGAAAATCACAAGGTTTCACTTGTGATAAAAAAATAAGATGAATAATATTTTATTTTATTGAGCAACATATCAGAAATAAACCATTTAAGTAATGAATTATGTCTTATTATTAACATAATTACAAGGTTTTCAAGAAAAGATAAGTCACAGAAATCAGATGATTATGCTCTGTGAGGTCTTTGTTAGTGAAGTCAAATGATATCTTTTCAGTCACCAGAGAAATCAACTAGAAAAATTTGTTAGTATCAAAATAGATAAGGTTATAATAAACAATAGTTTTATTCTAGTTTCAGTTGGGAAATGAGATGTTTTTAATGTGCTAAAATGTTTTTCAATGAGGTATAATATGATTATATCTTATTGACTTATTCTTATGTTTTAAATAATTTAACACAAATTTAAGTGCTGTTATTTATTTTATTGTCAGGTTTATTTTTATTTTCTTGAAATTTACTCATTTTCAAGAGATTGTTTAGAGAAAACCTAGTCCTTTGAATATCTAAATAGTATTAATTTTTTCCAGGCAATATGATTCTGTTTCAAGAAATCTTATGTGATATGTTATAAAGAATCCCCTCATCGCCTTCATGTATACACACATACAATAAATATACTACAACTTCAATTAATTTTTCCACTTTCCTTTATGTTTGATTGCAGACCATTTTCAAGAAGTTTCTACTCTTCAAAATGGTAATTCGCATTATACACTTTGAATTTTTGCTCATCTTTTGTATTAGAACATCATAAATATTGGGTTCATTTTGACACAATCAAATATGCAAGAAATTTTATTTCAAGCCCCATCCAACCTTTTCCTCCCTTCTTCTCCCTCATGTTCCCTCCTCTTCTCTACTAAAATTTCATTCTATTACACATGCAAAAGGGAAATTTCCTTTGGGATGTTTATATATGAATATGACATGATTTGGTTAAATTCATGCCATTTATCTTCCTCTTTCTCTTCCTTCTTCCCTCTCATTCTCCAATAGCTACTACCACTGATCTTCCCTATATCTTTATGATATCTGATCCCCACCCCCACTGCCTTCTTTCCCTAAATTTACTAAAACTTCCTCATATGAGAGAAAACTTTCAACCTTTGAGTTTCTAAGTCTGGTTTATTTCATTTAGCATGATTTTTCTCCATTTCCATCCATTCATCAGCAAATGTCATTATTTCACTCTTATGGCTGAGTTAACTCTTTTGTATGTATGTACCACATTTTCCTAATACATTTCTAATCCCTATTGATGGGCTTCTGGGTAGAATCCATAATTTGGGAATTATGCTGCTGTAAATACTGAAGTGGCTGAATCACAATAGGATGCTGATTTTTAGGCCTTTTGGAAAAACATTGAGAGTGGGATAGCTGGGTCATATGGCAGTTTAAATCCTAGTTGTTTTTTTTTTTTTTTTTTTTTGAGGAATCTCCCCATGGTTTCCAGAGTGATTGTTCTAATTTACAGTCCCATCAATAATGCAGAAGTGCACCTTTTCCTCAAAATCCTTACCAGCATTTATTATTATTCATGATATTGATAATTATTGATTCCTTTCAAGTGTACTTTCTTGGTCTACAGTCCATATCTCTTGGTGTAGTTTTGATTTGCATTTCCCTAATTGCTAGAGATGCTGGACATTTTTCCATATATTTGTTGACCATTTGTGTTTCTTTTTTGTTATTCATTTTTATTAGTTTTTATACATGACAGCAGAAAGCTTTTTGATTCATTGTACATAAACGGAGCAGAATTTTTCACTTCTCTGATTGTACATGACGTAGAGTCACACCATTCATATATGTATCTAGGGTAATAATGTGTGTCTCATTCCACCATCTTTTCTACCCCCATATCCCCTCCCCCCCTTCCCTTTGCCCATTCCAAAGTTCCTCCACTCACCCCATCCACCACCCCATTATGGATTAGCATGCACTTATCAGAGAACACATTCAGCCCCTATTTGGGGGGATTGGCTTATTTCGCTTAGCATGATGGGTTTCTTCTTTTAAGAAGTTTCTGTTTAGTTCTTTTGGCCATTTATCGATTGGCCTATTTCTATTTGTTTGCTTGTTTGAGTTTGTTTGTTTGCTTTTGGCATTGAGTTTTTTTAGTTCTTTATATATTCTGGATATTATTCCCTTGTCAGAGGAGTAACTGACAAATATTTTCTCCCATTCCAGAGGCTCTCTCTTCAACTCTCTTCATCATTTTCTTTGCTGGACAGGATCTTTTTTTAATTTAATGGCATCCCACTTACTGATTCTTAGTTTTATTTTGTGAGCTTTAGGGGTCTCATTCAGAAAGTCAGTGCCTGCACTGATATGATGGAATATTGATCCTATGTTTTCTTCTAATTTTGGCTCTGATCTTTATTATTTCTGACCTTCTACTGATTTTGTAATTAAGACCTTGAAGTGTAACATAAGCTTATTTATTTGGTCTCTCTCTATATTTTTAATGTAGATACTCAATGAAATAAATTTTACTCTTAGTACTGCTTTCATACTATCTCAGAGATTTAATATATCTTTGGTTTCATTTGTTTCTAAATATTTTTTATTTCTTCCCTCAATTATTCTTTGATCCATCCTTCTTAAAAGGATACTGTTTAAACTCCACATGTTTATGTGATTTCTGCTATTTTTCTTGCTTTTGATTTCTAGTTTCATTTTAGTATGTTCTAATAGGATGCATGGGATTATATCAATTTTCTTTGTGTATTTGCTTAGATGTACATTTTGACCTGGAACATGGTCTGTTTTGGAGAAGGTTCCATGAACTGCTGAGAAAAAGATAAATTGAGTTTGAATACATACAGTTTGGATATATCATTATTTATTTTATGTTTTGATGACCTATCTATTAGTGATAAGGATGTATTGAAATCTTCCAGTATTACTGTATTGGGATCTATCTGGGATTTAATGTCAGGAAGTATTATTTTATTATTTTTTAGTTGTTAATAGACCTTTGTTTTATTTATTTATATGATGTGTTGAGAATCGAATCCAGTACCTCACACATGCCAGGCAAGTGCACTACTGCTGAGCCACAGCCACAGCCCCTTAAGAAGTATTTTTTAATGTAATATGTTGACATTTGGGGCATATATATTAACTATTATTATTTCTTCTTGTTGGGTTGTTTCCTTTACTAGGATGTAATGGCTCTCTTTTTCTCTTCGGATTAATTCATGCTTGAAATCTGCTTTGTCAGATATGAAGAATGGCTACTCCAGCTTGTTTTCAGAGTTCATTTGCATGAAGAAAATTTTTTTCAATCCTTCTGCCTTCAGTCTGCAAGTGCCTTTACCTATGAAATGAGTCTCTTGCAAACAGAATTTGGTTGGATCTTGTTTTTGGATCCATTCTGCTAGTCTATGTCTTTAAATGAGTGAGTTAAGGCTATTTATTTTCAGTGTTATTATGGATATATTATTTGGATTTTGGATTATATATTTTGAATTCTTGCTCAACCTAAATGTCTTTTTTTAAACAAAGGTGAGAAAATGATTTCTTCTAAGTATACTTTCTTGGTCTACAGTCCATATCTCTTATCATTGACAAATACTTCCTCACCTTTATGAAGCTTCCAGTGTTGTAATTAAAATGCTTTTTAGCATTAAGTCTTGTTCCTTTTAGGTAACATTCACTTTTTCCCCTATAATATTTTTTTAAAGATTTTGATATTTTATATTAACCCATGGGTTTTAGAAATTACATCATGAACTGTCCAAACCTGTATTATTCAACAAGAACTGTGCCTTGGACATGCTTGAGTCTTTTGAGTTGCAAGAAGTGAGATTTTAAGATTAATCAATTAAATTTCCCATTTGTAGATAAGAGATTTGAAACCTGGTGGTTGCAGAAAAATGTGTTTATTCACCTACTTATGCTGTTTCATGGAACATCAATAAAATAAATTAGTTATCTCTGATGTCTTTTCAAAATGCACAAAAAGCAGAGAATTGACAGGTATAATTATTATGATAGGCCAGAGGCACTTGTCTATATTCTTCACACTCATGTGTGCACATCTAAACCTCATTAAAAGGGTGTACCTTGAAGCAAATTTAATATTCCACTAAGGACCTATCAGCAGAGATGGGTGGTTCTCACAACAGCCTCATTCTACTACTTAGAGTATCCACCTGCTTATACTTTCACTAAATGTAGGTCATAGTCTCATTGCCAGCTATAGTTGTTCCATCCTAGTGTTCAGTCAAACTGATCGTAAAATTGAATAAATATTCACTAATTTTCATAAATGTTGCTAATCCATCTGTCCTAGGAAGCTTATTTCTTTGACTCAAGCCCAGGATTTTATAGTTACCATTGCAGAAGTTTATCCTATTTGATTCAATTTGACATGTAGGATTTTCTTTGAATGATATGTCCTAGTGTAGATTCACTAACATCATCCTTTGTGTCATTCAAGTTGTGAATTCATACTACATTTTCCCTGAGCCATTGAATAATTTGATGTCACCAATGAGTAATGGAGTTGTCCTGAGAAGAAAGTCCTCTTGCTTGATTATCAGATAAGATTATTTAATGAAATTGCAAAGAGATAAACCATCTAACTGGTCAATTTCATTGCCTTATCCATAAGAACCTGTGAAAGGCAGGTTTAGATATATTTGAGCAAATCCATATTGTCGAAGTCAACTATAAAATCACTAAACATTGACCTTATAGTTCTTATGCACTTTGAAATTTGTTTCACAGTTATAAAAGCTTTCTCTGTTAGTGACTGGAATTTTGCCTAGAACTAACATTGAACTCATTGACCAATCATTTGTATCATCACATTTTTGTTTAAGTGTGATACACCTTTAAAATGTACAGTTAGATAGAAAGAAAAGGAATATGACTGTGGAGACAAACTAAAACTTGAAGAGGGCCAAGAAAGCATTCCATAAATAAAATAGTCTTGACCTTTAGTGGAATTTTGCCACATGTAAAATTTGTAGGAAACTACATAAGTCCTTCAGCACTCCTCCCTCACAATAGGGGAGCTTTATTTTTCTCCTTTTGGGGGCATGTTGGACTTAGTGTCTCATTTCTGAAGAATAGATGTGGTGGTAGCAAGAGTATGTGAGTAGATCCTAAGTGGTATTCAGGCCTCCACTCACTCAGATCAGTAGCTCTGGAGAAAGTTAGCTGTCATTCAGGTAACCTAAGAGAGGCCCATGTGGTCAGGAGCTGAGGCCTCCTGCCAAAAATCTATGTGAGTGAACCGTGTGGGAAACAGATCCTGCAGAACAGTCTATTACACTGATGTACTGACTGCACCACAAGAAGAAACTGACTCAGAACTACTGACTCATTTCCAAATTCTTGACCCGCAGTCACAATGAGACAACAAATATTTGGTATTAAACAAATATGTTTGGGAGGGAATTTTTTTAATTTTATTTTTTAGTTGTAGTTGGATTCAATACCTTGATTTTATTTACTTATTTTCATGTGGTGCTGAGGATCGGACCCAGGACCTTACACATACTAGGCGAGCTCTCTACCACTGAGCCACAACCCTAGCCCAGTAAATTTGTTTTAATGAAACAAATAACTAACATATTATCTGTTAGAAGGTAGTATTTTTACCCAATGTTTTATTCACATACTGGAAGAATTTTATTAATTAGAGGAAAAAAAAAAAAAAATATATATATATATATATATATATATACACACACACACACACACACACACACACACATACATACATTTTTTTGAATTGCAAGAAACTGTTTTTAATTTACTAAGATGTGATTTTCATACTAAGAGATGTAAAGAATGCTTTTAAAGGCTCTATGTACATATTATGTACATAAACATAGACAACTATTTGGTCTTGTCACAGTGTGTGTGTGTGTGTGTGTGTGTGTGTGTGTGTGTGTTTAGTAGAAAAATCAATTCAGAATTACAAAGTAGCTCAAGATATAAATGGAACTTACAGCTACATCTTGGAGGAGGTATCCAGACACTACTTGTACATTTTGCAGTATTTCCCCTGGTTGCAGGATAAAAACCACTTTTACATTCATATCTGATTTCATCTCCAGTTCTGTGCTTAATCCTTTGAGGTGAGTAAACACCATTTGGAATATAAGGAGGATTACATGTTACTTCTGGGGAAAAAAAATAGGATGTGTGAATAGTGTGGAAATCAGTACTCATTAAAATTAAGTATAAGAAAGTAAGACTATAGGTAATATTTATTTGTCCCTAGAGGAGCACAAAATGACATTAAAATAAACATATCCTCACATATCACTATATATATATATATATATATATATATATATATATCCTCATATATCACTCCTGTTTAACTTACTGTGGTTTTTACCAATATATTTGTGATATCATGAAGTATGTGATAGCTTTGTCTAAAGCTTTCACATACTTCATGATACTCCTTGTCTGGCAATGACTTCATCATGATCATGTATAAATATTTCAAATATTTCTTCCACTTTCTTCTATTTCTTTGGACACTGTTGCTCTCATAAGGATTGTTTACAAAAATATACATAGACTCTTCTTTCCACACAACTGGTAGGAAATCACATCCATTCTTTGAATTAAATATGGCCATATGACTTAGATAGTTCAATGTAATGAAAATAAAACAGAAGGGAGTTTTAAAAGACATTGTGTGAATTTTCATGTTCTCATTCCCACATCTGCATTAACTGAAGAAGAACATTGGAAAGATGATGCCTTTGTCACCTGATTCTTAGAACTAGTTTACCATATTTCACTGCATTACCATTGCCACTGTTACAGGATTCTTCCACAGAGAGACCAGGAACCAGGGCATTCAGCAGGAAGCAGAGCATATTAGTGTTGGCACTGGTCCAGTGGATTTGTATTCAAAGGCTGAGGTCCCAAAGCAGGAGATGTTGCCATATATATCTCTTGTTAGTTCCTCTTTATTTGCTAGCTCTTTGTCTCCCATATAAGGTAATATACATTATATACATTCTAATTGGGCATTATATTTTATACTATAGATTTGCAACAATATTACAACAGAGTTGTGGAATGTGCATGGTGATTTTGTGGGTGTCATGTTACCTTTCCTTTGTTCTGAGAAAGTCCCTACCATACCACTGCATTAACATATGTTCATGAGTATTCCATGTGTTCTAATCTTGCACCAAGACAATTTAGTAATGAAAATTTTCAAGTATTACCTGCACAATTTAAAAAACAATGTTTCATATGTGAAACATTTAGTAGCATTTCACTTTTTGGCAAAAAAAAGGCATAAAGTCTGCAATGATTTTTCAGTGAAATACTGTGCAGAGACCCTTCTGAACTGTATTAGAAGTGAGCACAAACCAGAAACAAAGTGTAGTTTGTTAAGATATTGATATACTGCAATCTATTTTTTGGAAAGCCTTTTTTGTAAGGGGTCTCTTTTGCAACTACTTAGGTCTGGCAACATAATATAAAAGTAACCATACCCAATTTGTAAATAAATGGACGTTGTTGTGTTGCAATACAGCTTTCTTTACAAAAGGGAAGCAAGCTTGATTTGACCTGTGAGCAAGTTTGCCTTCCTTTGATCTAGTCTCTTCTCACATATAAAGCTCTTTCTTGTTCCTTCCATCAATTCTGCTATATCCCAATAATGGATCAATTTACAATATTCTTTTTCTTATAAAGTGCTATACATTTTAAGTATAGTAGAAAAGTTATATAAATGTCTGTATTGATGCCATATTGTAATTTGGCCTAAAAGCATGTGGTGGATATTCATCATTACTTATAATCCTTTATATGCTCATAATTCATCTCTTATTTCATTAAAATAATCCTTTATATGCTCATAATTTACCTCTTATTTCATTTTCCAATATAAGTTACTAATTGTTAATACACTCTTTTCAAGCCACCTAACCCAATTGCTCTTTTATCAACAAATAATAAGTCTTTGAACTTTAGTTTACATTTCTTTACTTAGGTTTTACTTCATGGTATAACTAAATTTAATACCAATTTTTTTAATCCAAAAGTCACAAGTTATAAAAAACAAAAGTTTAAGAGAATGATTAAAGTGTATCGGGTAATTTTGTTAAAACATTCGAGAATGGAAACACTTCTGAAGATTAATCTCAAATTGTAGACATGAATTCATTGATGAAACTTAATTCTTGCCTTTTGAAATCTTTCTTAAAATAAACAATTTAAAAATTGCCTTACTATCTATTGCTATCTAAAATAATAATATTCAAGACTATCCAAATGTATGTGGTCCCTTTTTCTCACTACCAGATACATTTGAAGTAAGAATAATAATGCATGATTAGCACCATATGTTGTAAATCAATTTTTAAAAGTTTATGAGGAAAACAGATGGAATTGGATCAAACGTGACTTTTAATCAATTCATTTTGGCATGTTTAATTATTCCTGTAAATGACTTATTGTAGGTTGTCTTCTATTGGACAGAGAGAACCAAAGTTTTGACACCTCTGTCAAAACCCTTGGCATCTATATGCCGTGGAAGAGATGGAAAGCAATTCAATTATTTTCTCCTCAACCATTTTAAATTTTGATTTATTACTCAATTTCTGAGCTTTGAGTTACACAATTTTAGAGAAATTAAGATTTCTGGGTCAGGAGTTCATCATATGTCAACAGGTCAATTCTTGCATTGTGCCAGGAAAACAAAGAGAAGTATTTGTAATATATTAGCTGAGGTACAGAAGGTAGAGTCCTTTTATTAACAAGAAACTCTTCTACATCTAGTCAATGTAAAGTATATTTAAATAAAATGAAACACATTTTGAAACAATGTACATGCTTATCCAATTTGGGGTAAATCTCTCTTTATTGTTATCAAAGTTTAATAAAATACCTTGTGATCAGCCAAATCCCTTTTAATGTGGATTTAACATGGATTATCATTGTCTTATATTCATTAATTATTTTCTAAAATATTTTGTTAATGATGCCTAAAAATAGAGATCACTCTATTGTGAAGAAAGAAACATTTTCCATGGAACTGTTTGTAAACTGAAGCAAAATAAAATGTTTAATTATAAAATCAATTCAAAATTAACTGTACTTTTATAAAATATAACTAAAACAAGATTTAAGCATGTAATTACATACCACAGATGTAAAGTTCCGAGGGTTCCTAGGAGTTAACTCTCCTTACTTCCCAGTATGGTAAAATCTGTGAAAATCACTGGACCTATCAATGGTCCTTGTTTCCCTCACTGCAACAGTTCTCATCAAAAAGCTACCTCACTTCTTTTCAGAAATGCCTGCAAATATCTGAGGACAGGAATTACTACAATATAGCTATGTCTTCTTGCTATTCTTTTTATGGTTATGATTTCTTAAACTCTTCAATCATCTATATTCTCTCTTCTAGGTCATGATCCTTGGAAGACACCCCTTTAAAAGGAGGTAGGAAAAAAAGAACACAATATTCAGATATACTTCTTGTGGGAAAAAGCACTCTGCCTCTCTGCATGACATCCTTCCATGAAGAAGCTGAGAGTTAGGATTTCTTTTTCAGCACCATCATCACTGTTGTTCCAAATTAAACCCATTGCTCATGAAAATCTCCACTTTCTGGATCCCTTTAATTCCATTGTCAATAGAGATTTACCTCATCTGATGTTAACATAATTTACTCTTTAGAGCCAAATTCTAGGCTTTAGAAGAGCAATTTATGTATTTGAGAATTGCAGATTATTGAAATTGGAAAGCCTATGACAGTCCTGCAATTTAGTGAGAACCTTTCTCAAAAAGCATAAAATAGGTGGGCGATGTAACTCAATGATAGAGCACCTCTGAGCACCAAAATCCTCAGTATTAAAAAAATAATAATAATAGAGTTGG